CTCCTGTCCAGTTTTACGGCGGCCGCAGCTTCCACCAAGCGGCTTTGAAGGTGAGATCCCCGGTAGTCGAGCGGAGACTCCCTGAATGCACGATGCATGCGTACATGCATCAACGCTTCCTCGCGCACCTGCGGCGACAGCAGCAATAGAACCAACAGGTTTGAGCAGGGCCGGTTGTCCTCCGCTGCAGGGCTTGCGACATGGACAGTTCAGCATGGACCTCCTCGTGTCCCTCGGGAGCAACTTGGCCTTCTTCTACTCCGCCCTGTCGTGCATGCAGTCGGCAGCAACACGCGTGTGGTGCAAGCCGCTGCTGTCTGCGGCGGACGTTGCAGTAGCAACAGCAGCGGCAGCAGCAGCGCATCCTGGAGCTACCAACCCTGGTAACCACACCATCAGCCCATTCTATGAACTTCTGGAAGGGGCAGAACCTCAGGTCTTCTTAGACACCTGCGTAATGCTCATCTGCGTCGTCCTACTTGGCAAGGTAAGCTCGGCAAATGCGTCTCTCCTTGCATCTGGTGCAGGGCATTTTATACTGCAGCAGCAACACAATTCAAGCAGCAGCAGCACACTTCAAGCAACAGCAATACCCTTCAAGCAGCAGCAACTCTTCCAGCGCTGCATACGTTGAGAAAACCTCCAAATGCTCCTGACAGATGGAGATGTTGCTTCTCATAATGTTCATAGCACCTGGCGCCAATGGCAGCAAGGGTTTCACTTCAAATGAATTTGAGAAGTGCATGCATATGCGTGCCTCTGCAATGCATATACATGCGTGCGATGCATGGCTATCCATCTGCATGCAAAAACATGTGCTGTTTGTTTTGCTGCAGTTGCTGCAGCTGCGAGCAAAGGCCCGGATTCTGGAGCAGCTACACAGGTGCGTGCGGGATGTGTCTACGTGCGAGAGTAATATGAATAGGTCCTCTGAAATGCATCTATTCATTTGCCTTTCTTCTATGGCATGTGAAATGTGAAGTTTCGCTCTTTTAGTTTCTTTTATCTATTTGAAATTAATTTAGTTTCTTTTTCTTCTGTAGAATGTGAAATGTGAAACTCCCGGCTTGAAATGCATTTCATCTGTTTTTTTCTTTAGAATGTGAAATGTTGAACTTTGTTCTTTTACCCCGTCGAAATGCATTTCATTTGTTTTCTTCTTTGGAATATGAAACGCT